TAGTCCGATGCCAATACGATTTCGCTCTCATATTATTACAATAATCTAATGATAATAAAACTATATATATAAAGCCCATACAAAAGATTGATAAATCAAAATTTATTTTCGACCCATATTTCCTAAGGGAATTATATTATCCTAAAGAATATTATGGTCCGATGCCAATAAGATTTTGCTTTATCATTCATGTTAGTTGTGATATGATTTAGTAGACCAATGCCAAAAGACTTTGCTCATATTCCAAAACTAAATAAAGCTTATAATTAATATTATAATTGATGTAAAATATCTACAAATAATTTGTTTTGTATAAAAACTGTTGTTCGGGACCTAACATATATGACTTTATTTAATACTAGCGGGCATAACCCGGCCTTGCCCGTGGCACGTATGTTAAAAATTAACGTTCTCAAAAAGCTTTGAAAATGATTTTGAAACTTATCGGACGGTAAACAAACATATAAAAGTTTTCCGCCAATTTACCACTGTTGCGAGTGGAATTTCCCAAATCGCTGAAACACGTATTCATTATATTCTTATGTAGAGCTTTGAAAATAACTTTGAAGCAAATCGGACACAACCTTAAGCTTCGCCCAAAAAATCTTTAAATCGCATTCCCCCCGAAGAAGTTTGAATTCTGCGAAAAGTGTGAAACACGTATCAAATGATTTTTCTTATAGACCTCTGGAAATGAATTTGAGCGCGAAAAGTCACCCACCAAATCTTTGACCTCCATTTCCACGAAGGAGGAATGGATTTTCCTTAAAGTGTGAAACGCCCCTCAAATGAATTTGAACAAAGACTTTTGAAAAAAAATTTGAGGCCGATCGGATGGTAAACAAAAAAGTTACATACAAACGTTTTTCGCGATTTTTTCACACTTGCGGGTGGAATTTCCCGAAACCCCGTCTTAACGTGCACCTACATCACATAAGGTAGCTACAGTGAAAATTTCAGCTTCCTAGCTCTTACGGTTTGGGCTGTGCGTTGATCACCAATCAGTCAGTCAGTCAGTCAGTCAGTCAGTCAGTCAGTCAGTCAGTCAGTCAGGACAAACAGTTTTATATATAGAGATAATTAAGTTTATACGTAAAAATACTTATCGACACCTCTAAATATTCGGAATATTCCGCAAAAATAAACAAATCTGGCTAACCATACCGACTTAAATTAAACAACTAAACTAAATTTAATCAATAAAGCTTTATATTTATGTTCAAAGTTGAAAATGGCTTCATTAATGCAATACGCATTTCTCAGGAATAACCATACCCCGACTTCAAAGGCCCAAGGTTAATTCCTTGAAATCTTTGAAAATCTTCTTAAAATCCGTTGTGATGAATTCAAGGGCTGTGTCGACTTTGTCTGGAATGTGTTGATTATGTCTGAACTCTCATGGAATATGCTGAAGTTGTTCTCACGTCTTATCAAATTTACTTATGACGAGCACAAATGCTCAATCAGCTGCAATGCGAGTGCCAACGTATTGCTAATTAATTTGATTTCGAGTCTTGGTCCAATGCTAATTAAGTTTTGGCCGAAATGCAGGCGAGCGCACAGCTTGGCCAGAGCTCAGGACATGGGCCAGGACATGGTTTTGGACAGGATGCAGGACTGCATAACAATTCATCATCATCAAAATCAAAGTGCATCACGTCGCAGCTGTAGTCGAAATATTGAAGCCTTGTCGCAGCGCAATCCGAAAATCATTTTCTATTTTGTATTCCCGTATGTCAACAGGAGTAGGGGCGGCGGCGGCAGCGGTGGGTGGGGCTGCTGGGTGCTAGGGGAGCTGTACTTATTTAAACAATAGTTGTCCCTGGCAGGACACTCGTTCAGCACTAGCCGCAGACAATTGCTTTGGATTGCTTCTGCCCGCCGAGGCGTACATTACATTAGACGAGTATAAAGCACCGAGAACCACACAACTCACCCGCCCTCCCCTCCCCTCCCCTCACCTCGCCAACCTCAAATGGTTTCAAGTGCAGTCCGAAACCGCAAGGCAAGACAAGACAACAACATGGCCATAGGGAGACGGGAGTTGGGACACGGGACACGGGACACGGGCACGGGACACAGGACCCGGCACATGGTACATGAACAAGGACATGCAGATAGCCATTGTGCAGCGAGAGGCGCACTCACAGACAGACTGACTGACTTGACTGCCAGCCTGTCAGGCATTTAAATAGTCCTTCTGTTGTCCTGTGATTGTTGCATTAATTAAAGATGTGCTGCATTGTTTGGGGCCGCATCCTGGCAATTGTACGATTTGCTGTCCTTGTGGTCCTGGCAGCTACGGCGGCGTCAGCTCATTGTGTTTTGAATTAATGTCAAAGGATTTGCGTAATTGGGCTGTGTCCTCACCAAGGAAATTAACAGCAAGGCCTGACGTTTGACACTTGCCAGCCTCAAAGTGAGCTACGCTCAACTGATTGTAAAACAAGTCGAGCAGCATTCACAATCAATCAAATGTTAGTCCTTTAAAATGCTCCGCAATACGTATAACAACAAGATTAAATCTATTAATAATGTTAATAATAGTAATATTAATAAAAAATTAAATACAATACAATAATAATAATTAGATTTGTAATAACAATAATATTAACGATAGGAAAATTCGTATTCTTGTAATTATTTCTATTGCGGAGTCCCTTATAATATAATTAATACATATAATAATAATTATTAATTTTAATTGTTATTACGATTTGTTTTATTAATATTATTAAGCAGTTTTATTCTTTTTATTGATAATAATAAAATTAATAAAAATATAATTTCTTTAATAATATTTTATGTTTAATATTAGAATTATATTAATAATTATATTTGATTTAGCTGAGTACTCGACTAGAATATGCCCCCACCCAACTTCAAATAGTAAAACACTATGTTCCATATTAGTATATGCATACATACACACACACATACAAACATATACACGCACACCCCAAGCTGCGCTCTGTTTGCAACAGCTGTGTTTTTACTCAGCCCAACCTCCCGCTCTATGGAAAATTGATTTCTAAATAGGTTTTTTGTTGATTTTCATGAAAATCATGGAAAGCTCTGGGCATACAGATGACATTTAAATGTGCGCATAAACTTCAAATTAAGTTTCATTGATAAATGCTTCAATATTGAAGAATGGGTAAATACGGAGATGCTCTAAAAGTTATACGCAAACCAATTTACTAGTCTCCATTTCTTAAGACTAGTTATTGATATCTACATTTATCGATTTTAATATAATTGAGGGGCTATCGAAAAAATATAAATAACTTCTGTGTTCTTTATATAAGAATCTACAATTTGAAAGTCCTTAACTGTACAAGTATCTGAGAAACTCACGCATATTAGGAAAAATATTTATATTATAAGGTAGGAGATGTCTTCTTAAGCCTTTTGCCTGCTCAGGTTGATTATATTCTCACATTCATGGTTTTTTTTAAATATTGTGAGAATTAAGTGAAAGAGACAATGAATTATAGGCACGATGTAAAAGCCTATCGATATCGATAAATGACCTATCAATAGATTTTGAAATCTATCAACCAATCTACCATTCAACATAATTTGTAATATTTTAAGTTAATTATATATTATCATAGCTCTGAATATCAAAATGGCCTTTCATTCAAGATTTCATTGTTTAGAGTTCAGGATATAATAAAAACAATTATAATAATTTAAAGTTTTCTTACCTCAAATCTTTTTCAGCGTCCTTCTGACATTTTTCTATTTATATTCCTTTATTTTAATTGTTATTTTGTTATTGTTGTCATTTGTCACGGCCCGACACTTTTACTTTATTTAAATTAAATTGACCTTTGCGCAACTTCAGATACATTTCGTGTATCTTTAGAATTTGTGCATTGCTTTGCATTGAAACTGGTTTTATTTATTTGAATAAATGTCTAAAAATGCAAGAGAAAGCATTTCGATACTTTTTCTAAGCCCTTAAATATTCACACCCGTTTAAAAACGCGATTTTCAATTCCACACTTTTGCTTACTATAAAACAATTTGAATTCTGTAAAAGAAAAACAAAAAATACATAGTTTAAGATTTGCAATTTTTGAATTTCGCATTCAGTTAACTCACATAATATTTTCAGGAATTGCGCCGAAAGTGTCTCATAGGAATACGCCAGTTGAAATATATACAAAATGTATTTTAAATTTTAACTAAATTTTTGATTTATTGATTGCATTAAAAATAGACGCAAAAATACTAAATACTAATTACATATATATATATACTAGAACTAAATTCATTTAAGGAATATAGATAGGTACATAAAAAACACAATTTGTTGTTGATTGTTGCTGCTGCTTTCTGTTATCCAAAATTGGGAATCAAGTTTAAGGAATACAATCAATTTAAAAACCAGGCAATGGAAAAGCTTCTATCCAGTTGGGTATTATATGTTTAAAAAATAATACTATATAAAACCAAGAGTGAATTTTGTGCAAATAGGGAAAACAAATTCGTACGACAAATAAATTCGAACAAATTGACGTATGGTGTGTGTGTCTGTGTGTGTGTGTGTGTGTGTGTGAAAATGCAAGGAATTGTAGAGCCGTGTAAGATAGAGCGCTAGTTAGTCGTAGCGTTAGATAGTGAGTGCTGTCTTAATACTTGAATGAAACTTTAGTAGATGGGGGTTAGTATATACTGCCACGCCCCCTATCTAAAGCAACAACAATCGTAACTAGCTAAAATTGTTGTCTTCTGCTTAACTCACGCAATAATCACAGCTGCAAATTTTCTTTTGACTTTTCTTCTCAGCAATATATCATAATAATATATGTATATGCATGCATAGCACTAGCCATGCATAACATATCATAGGTGTGTATATATATAAATGGGTCTGCTCAATCCTAATTATATAGCACATATAGTCCATGAAGTAGTTTGTTGTCAACTAGTTGATCAACTGCAATAACTAAGCTGGGAAATACGTTTCCTAACTCATATTTTTTTGGGGGTGGGGGGGAAAATGTTAGTTTTTCTTGTTCTTGTTGTTTTTTTAAGTTTAAGGCCACTTAAGTACGCTTTACGATTCGATTAAGTGCGGTTTGATGATATTGAGTTTTTCACCATCAAATTTGATCCTCAAGTGACGAAATTCATTTTGCCAAAAAGGCCGACTTTAGCTTTTGATACTCCAGTATGCGCGAAATGCCATATTCCTGAAAGATCAAAATAGAAGAGAATTAGTTTACTTTCAATATTATGATAAAAACAAAAATAATATTGTTCGAGACAGAAGTTGTACGAAAAAAACAACCTATTTTTGGTATATATGACAGTCATTATAAGTACATAAAGAAATATATTATTTAACAACAACTAATCTAATCTGTTTAGCAATAAAAACTTGTCATTATATATAGATCACAAAATGATTTACTAAAATCTCAATAAAAAACCTTGATAGTTCTTAGAATAATCATATTCATTCATAAATTAAACACTCGAGCGTGAATACAAATATCACACATTCTCAGAATTAAATGTCTTTTATAGTTTTTTGACAAAATAGTTCAGATAAGAACAAAATTTGACCGATTTACGAGGGTTGCACGGGAAGTATTGCCGGGAAAAGAATTTACCCATATATTTTATTATCTAATATAACAAAATACTTTAAAGTTTTTGTTACTGAACTTAAGGCTGATATAACAATAATGAAATATTAATCCATGCAAACATTTTCCACCTAGAGGGTAGGACCAATAACAATATAAATACTGTGCTTATATATTATTATTATACAGGTGTATTATCTTTCTTTATCTAACTAAATTGTCTAATACGTCTCCATAGAATTTAGATATCAAATTTCAGTTTACGATAACAAATATAGTTTTATAGCCTCTTATTAAATCATGTCTATAAAAAACAATACTCAAGTTAATTTTTTTAAAAAAAATAACATTTAATGTTCTTCCCAGCCTAAGTCCCCTAAGCTGACCTGTCGGAACTTAGCAATATAATGCGTTTTATAAAGTTTCTAAAAGTATTTTGCCTAGTTTTTATCTATCCACCATCTGTACTTATTATAAAACTTACCCAATAACCAAACTCAATGGCGGAGGTAACATTAACCACGGACCAGAGGCTCCAGAAGAGATGTGAGAGCATGGTGAATAGCCGTATCTCGGCATCGACCGTATCGAGCTCCTCGACATTGGGCTCGTAATGCTCATCATCATGATATTTCTTCAGGTAGTTGACAATAAAGTCGCGTCGCTGCTGAGCCGTGGCATATTGCTCTTTATAGTGATGAAAGTAGGGGAACTGCGGATTGGTATAGTCGAATGTCCATTCGATGAAGTGATTGGCCAAATCGAAGCCGCGATAGTTGTAGGCGCAATATTCAAAATCAATGATAATGAGATCCGGCTCATGATCGGACATGAAACTGGAGTCCAGTGCAGAATCATCTGTGGTGTCCAATTCGGCGCACGGTGAGGCACTTGGCGATTTGCTATAGGCGAATGCGAACGATTTTTATTTGAAGGGGGAGAAATTTGATTAGTTCAATTTGCAGCAGATATAACATAATATGGCATGGATAACCTGTATGTATTTGGTAATTTGCTTAGGCCGATTTTTACAACCAGCTCAATAAATTTTTACTCAATTTCACGACCGCAGCAAGGGGCCATCTAGAATTTAAGGTAGTTTTATATCGGCGAGCAAGCACATGTATGTATAATATATATAACTTATGGACTAATTTAGCAATTGGCAAATAAATACTGGTTAGCGGCCAACAGAGAAGTATGGAGGTTAGCACAAAACTATAAACAATTATATAGAACTTACTTGTCATCCGTATCCAAATTGCTGTTGCCATCCAGGCTGTCGCCCAGGGTCTCATCAAAGTTGGATCTATGGCAGAGATAAGAATTCAATTAGTATACAAAGTGTATTGTTGAATAATATACGATTGAACGCACCGCAAGATACTTATCGACTCCCTTGGTGTACGCTCTTGACCATTGCTCGATTGCCTTAACAATATGTTGCCCTCCTGCAGATCGTTGTGGCAAAAGACAACGGGATAGGCGCCGGCATCTATCACCGATCTCAGCCAGGTTATCTCCTGCACGTAGTTAATGGAGCGCATTAAATTCCGTTGCTTTTGCAGCACTGTCGAATTGGGCTTCGATTCAATCTTGCCCTTCACAATGCTCTCCAAGCTGGCCAGCCAACGATCCATACAGTTCCAGATCCAATCCGGTTCCTTGGACATCGGTATATTCAGGCTGTGTATTTCGCCCATTTTCTCGGCGATCTTCATCGAAATGCGACCATCGCCCAGCTCTGTGGTCGCCAACGGACGTGCCTATAAAATATGTGTATATTGTTATTGTTATTTTTAATATTTTATACAAATTAAATGTAGGGCAAGACTACATACAAGTCTATACATAGCAGATTGCAGATTTTTTTTAAAAGAGAGAGAACCCTTCTACATATTGGGTTGAGTAGAGATATTGTTTAAAATCAGATTGAAATTAGAAATAACTTTTCTTAACTAAATAAAATTTGATACTACAGCTTCTTCCATTATGTCAACAAAGTTGAAGACTTTCTACAAATAGACCAGCTTAAGCTGTCTAATCTGCCTGTATTGTATTGAAACTCAGCAAGTTAATAAAGAGAAGATCGATTATGGAAACTAACCTAATTCTATTGAATACCATCTGTTAAGATAGTCATATTCTCTACTTTATTATACTACGTAATTATTTAAATTGGCAATATATCTACAGAAGCTGCCACAGAGGCCAAGAAGAAGCGAAAAACTTATCTTATGTCAGGCATAAATATAAATTTAATTCGTATTCAGCTATTCCTCTGATTAGCTTAGGTCTTATATGTTTTCCATGAACCATACAATTTACCTGATCAAAATGAAATATATCCAAATCTTACATATTTATCTTACACATAACAAATTTTCTATATCTCATAATAACAGAACTAAGCTTCTAAAAGTTTTATACAAAAATGGATGGTATACAGATATTTACAAATAGTATATGTACACATATTGCCTATTCTTTAAAGAATAAGATATTTAATCTTAATTTTTAAAAGGAGAAGTTTTTCATGGAAAGCATATGTATATATTCCTTATACTCTTTATGTAATCGAAAATCTCTGCTGCCAGTTATGAGCATTGACACAGAGATTTGATGGAAACTAACCAACTTTTTAATACCTTGCAGATTATTTAAGAACTGTAAAACTAAAGTTGGGAGAAGACTTCAGCAAATGCATTAAGTGCATGTATACTTATATATTCCTGATCAGTGTCAACTATTTTCATTTGTTTGACAATGTGCAATTCTCTGGCTGAGTTTCGTATCGAACTTCCGCATTTTTTCTGGCCAAGCTCGAGGGAATTTTCAGAGCTATTTGCATAGCCAAACCTACCGGTATATACTGCTCGATGCGTCCACCGGGAAAGATGCCATGTAGCTTGGGTCCAAAATTGCGCTCACTTAGCAAGGCAAACACCACGGACTCGGTGATCATGCTCTCCAACGCATGATCGCCATGGGTTTGTCCATAGATGCGCAGTAGAACCTGTTGATAAGAATAAAGTATAAATATTTGCATACCAGACTATCAAGTTTTAGGCGACGGGATTTTATTTTTGGACGGGCACTGACCGACCGATCGTCGGACCTACCTCACGTGGTTCCTGCTTGGGGGTGTGCAGGCGCCTCAGTAAACTCGAGTCGCCGCTGTCGCTATCGAAGCGTCGCCGTTTGTTTGCCTGCTTGGCGCTCAGCGCTACGTCGTCATCATCGTCGGCGGCGACAGACACGGGCACAGGGCTGGGGCTGGTGGCTTCGTCAACGCCCCCGACAACAGTTTGTGCCAAATTTTTGGCCACCTCCGGGGCCACAGCAGCTGCCGTATAGTTGTTGTTGTTGTTATTGTTGTTGTTGCTGCTATTCTTGGCAAATACCGAAGCGGCTATGACGTGCTTGCCAATGCTGACGTTGGCATTTCCTTGCTGCTGTTCCACCTCCAACAATTGCTGCTCATCAAAGTCATCCAAGTCGGGCAGGCTTACGTAATACAAGAAATTCGAGAGGCCGCCACTAAAACGGGGTAACAAAAAAAAACGGTTCGAATTTCAATTATTTTGTGCCTATTGCATATGAGGCCTCTAGAACTCACCTGATGCGCTTTACCACAAGCTGTTCTGGGGTAACCACCTTCCAGCGTCCGGTTAGATAGTCGCGGCAAATGCGAGAAGCCGCTTGGCGAATTTCCTCGAGTGTGGCCTATTTGGGTTGGTGCCAAGAGCGTCAAGTCCAAAAGAGAGCGAGGCAGCGAGAGAGAAACGGAGAAGAGAGAGCATGCGTTTAGTTAAGGAGAGTGGCAAAAAGTGCCTCACGTTTTTCAAATTGACAAAACAAATGTTCGTACTCGTGCCCGGGAGGGGATTTTGGGGGTGGTGTACTAAATATAATAAGTATTTGCATGTGCTTAAAATGGCATATAATTTTGAAGACAGCAAATAAGCAATGTCTTTTTAGAACAACTGCAAGACCTTGAGAATGTGCTAGACAAAATTTTGGTACACATTTAACATGTACTATAATACACATATCAATGAGCTGAAACAAGTGGCATGTTAACTGGTGTGAACTAAAACCGCAGTAAATTTATTTATAAACAGCTTATAGGAACTTAAAATATCAAGTGTGGAACCTCAAATAATTAAAAAAAAAAAAGCTAGATACCTATTAGACATGTACCTAAGTGCTAAGTATATTATAGATGTATATAATAAAGCTTAAGTGGGCAAACAAATAATTATAGATAGCTTATATAAAACACATATAACCAACCGAACGTACAGCAAATCAGAAGTAAGCTATAAAACTTAACCTGACCGACTTGTACTAAAACTTAGGTACTTTGATTTCCAACTGAAATTAATCTGAGAACTGTTCCATAACTGAAATCTACTATACATAATGTCCGGAGACCAATTGATAACTTTGCAAACACGATAGCTAAAATGAAGAGAACGACCCAAGGAAAACTTTGGTACTATCCCAATATATACTAAAAAATTGGTTTTTATTAAGAATCAAGACTTGAGACGCAAAAAGGTTTAGACAACTGTCGTGTACTAAAATGGGACTAACATGTACCTAAAGTAATAAAGCGAAAAATTTATATTTTAAAAGCAAAGTGCAAATAAATTATAATTAAAAAAAAACAAAAACAAAAGCTATTTAAATACTTAATTTGGTTAGCTTACATTGCGTCGAAAATGTTGCCAGATATGTTCATAATTACAACGAGGGCGTTTACAACAATTCTCATCAATTTCTGGTAATTTTTGCTGCTTTTGACGACGAGTTTTGTGTTTATTTAAATGTTTACGTTGTCTCATACTACGCGTATTATGTTTTACAAAAGATCAATCAAAATGTAAATATATATGGTATATATATATATATATATATATATAATAAGTGTAAATCTAATTATATAAAATCAGATGTCTCAATTCCGTATGCACGCAAGTCTTTAATGTTGTTCCGAGTCAAGTCGAATGTTCCTCACAGCTGAGCGGTCAATAACAAACTGAAGCAAAGTACAACACAACTGACTCATCGACGCCCCGAGATGTGGCCCCTTGCTCTCTCTCTCTCTCATGTTCTCTCTGTCTCTTTGTTTTTGTGGCTTGTGCACCACCACCACAGCCCTTGCCTTGGGGTTGCTAGGGCAAAGCATATATTTACCTAGACCAGAAACTCGACTGTAACTAAGAAATACGTCAATCGGTGCTCGAAAACGAAATATTTGCGTGCTGTGATTCAGAACAGATGTTTGAGGTCTCTGAGACAGGTAAATATACTAGATTGAACTGGTTTTAGAACTAGGCAATTAGTTGGAGTCTAGTACCTACTAAAGATAAGATTGGGTCTTAAGTACTTGTAAATATTGTTAACAGGCTTGAACATAGAACCTTGCTGTCCATATTTAAGTCCAATGCGTTCGTTGACCTGTGTAACATATTGGCACCTGTTCAAATAATTGACGTCAAAGATTCCTTATCTCATTCTCGTGTTTAATTATCTTCATTTGGCTTATTAAATATTACACTCGTAAAAGTTTTTGCCGATAATACTATCAAATTTTGTTCCAACACTGACAAATTAGGTGTAATTCTGTAGAAAACAGAAGCTGCATTTTTGTTGCCAAGAATCTGCAAATCTGATATTTTTTTCGGACTTAAAGCTATTTAATCATTTCTTTTATATATTTTGCAAAATACCTTTAAATTGATCTTAATTAAAAGAATAAATAAATGAATTACCTCTGATATTGAAGTATTAGCATAAGATATATTGGCTTTCTTATAAAAAGGATTGCAACTCTTTATTATATATATTTGTTTAATTTCCCAGGTACCTAATCAGCAGGTATGCAATTATTTACCAGATTTCACCTTTCTTTAAAGGTGCAACCCTTCGAGATTTTATTTCTCTCTCTCTCCCGCTCTTCGATTTTCTGTCTTCGCCATTTCCACCCTCTTTTTAAACTGGCTCTCACACAACATTTTCAACTCTCTTTTGCTCCGTTCTCGTTCGCAATTGTTTAGGATCTCTTTGCTTCTACCAAAATACTCTGGTTCATTTTTTAAAACTCTTTAAAAATATGTCTAAGTTATACTCTCATTTTGTATTTTATTAAGATCTTCAATAGAACAGGCTTATGAAAATTTAAGTTTTTAAGTACTTATACCACCAAAATGGAGTCCAAAGGGAGTTTTCCTTTTAATATAGGATAAATTTAACTTAAAATATATTCATCTGTTATCTTTACATGATCTAACATTTCAAATAAAGGATGAAGTCCTTTAATTATCGACTGGATTTGGAGATTACCAATAAAACAATTCATTTGAGTTAAAATGTTTGAAAAAATGATCAAAATTATAATAAAAGTCTTCAAATAAAACTAGTTTAATGGCATCTCAATTCATACAACTTTCCCTCAACACACATGCATTTATGTACACACACACAGAGAAACGCCTTCGTCGTGGAATTTTCCACGCAATCATCGCAACAAGAAAATCTTCCATTTACGCACAAAGCTAAAGTCTTATCAAGTGGGTGAACATAATAAGAAGGTCAACACAATAATAAATACTTTATAAAAGAACAAACAAATCCAAGACGCGTTTAAATAATAAATGTAGCATAAAGAAAAGAAAATGAAAAATGCATTAATTGCAAATTTTTTCAAAGATAATTGCAAATTGAGGAGCAGGAAAAACTAGATGACAACAAGATTTATGCCAGCACGTGGTAAACCCATTTGGGATCTTACGTATTACTGAATTCCACCATTTGAAATGCAATTCAACGAAAAGGTTCTTGATAAGCGGTTCCGGACCTTATCAGCCATAGCAGTCGAACTTATCAGCAGCCATTCCATATGACGCCCCCTTAGTCGCAAAGATGTGCGAACTATGCGATCGTCATTTCTCCCACAATCAATAGAGTACGCAGTTGGAGATTGAAGATTTCAGATAATGCCAGAGGGCATTGAACAAAGTTTCTGATAACAGGATGTTGGTTACATTATCTTTGTCTTTTGCCACTGACTGCGCAATACGCTGCCTACACTGTAATAGCAACTGTGATTGGCGACTCTACAACTGTAAGCTCTCAGCAGTCACTGTCAAACTTTGTCAAACTGTCAGAGATCTGGGCTTACGCGAAATATGTTTCGATCGATCTTTCGTGGAGGTCATCAGTAATGGCACCAGTCAAATTGCGAGCAGAATCATTTATAAAAAAAATAATTAATTAAATTTAAACATTTTAATTGCCAGACTTTCAACTTTTTACACTAACTAACACTAAAATGAAAACTAAAATATCTTAAATCTGAAATTAATTTTATTTGATTTTTGTTTAAAATGTCTACACCTTACATAACAAATTTAGTTGCCTGCAGACTCGGAGCTGAAAACCGAATAGACTCTGGCTTACGAGAATCTTCCGGTTTAAATTCCCAGCAATATTTATTAAATCATATAAAAAGTGCTTTTCCAGGTCTCAAATCCCTTTTTCACCTAATATCCAGAAAAGATTTTTATTATACTTTTATTATTATACAAATCATTCGATTTCACGTAATGTTGAAAACTTCCGGTTTGATTCACAGAAATATTCTTATAAAAAGTGCTTTTGCAGACCTCAAACCCCTTTTTAATTTAATATACAGCAAAGACTTTTAATATATTTTAGTTATTATACAAATTCAAGAGAAAACGTTGAGTTTTTAAGATATTTCAATCTCGATCAAGCCACAAATCTCTTCTAAAGTAGCTCATCATATTGCATTCTATGTTTTATTATGCGGCTAATCAACCTGCTAATATATAGGTCAATATTAATTGGTAGCGCTCCCAAAGTCTGCCTAGGGTCTGAATATATTTGCTGCTGATAAGCCGAAAGACCATGTTGATAAGATTTGCTGAAAGAGCGCGTGTTTTAACAAGCAATTAGCACAAATACCAAATAACTAATATTAATGCCCACTAAACACCATTCGATATTATCTACAGGAGCTCTAGAGTATAGAGTAAAAAAGTCGAGCTTATCGCAATTCTCAAGCGCTTTGTAACCAATCTATTTCACAATGTCATCAAGCCATATACCATAAACCAGGCCAATAGACATACATATATCTGGTATAGTTGGTATTCGTGACGCGTTTGCAGCTCGGGATTTATTAACACTAAATGACTTTTGGTTTTTGCCAGTTAGTTATCTTGGTCTAAATTGAATGGTATGCCATAAAAACTATCTATACTATATTTGCTAAATACCTTTGAATGGCTATGCAAATAGTATTTGTTAAAATTATAATTTGATAACAACATTAATTGTACTAATGCACAAAATAAATTAATAAATGACACCTTATCTATTTTTTATGAAATTATCAGAGATTCTGGGCTTATTTTTCGAAATTCCACTTTAATTGAATTGTGGAATTTGTTGTGATAATAAATATGAAATTATTGGTTGGGCAAGTGTATTTTGTAGCGACAAATTGAATTTTAAGCAAAATAAATTCTTGACAGTTAATCTAACCGTACGATCATCTGTATATGCCCTTTCTGTCTGCGAGTATGTAGGGTATATTTTAGTATTTGGGTTTTTACGTTAAAACAGCAGATCAGTTCACAAATCGTAAATTTCCCAGCCCCGTATTTAAAGATAAAAAACTGATTTTGGATAAAAAAAAAACTTTTTTTTAAATTACGGCACTTTAAGTTTGTACATGGCAAATTCTATCTCTGTCTGACTTGCTCTCTCTTTCACACACACACACACACTATTTGCCTCATCCGGTCGTCCGTCAATATATTTATATAATACTGATATAATATGATATATCGCATTTCAGGCTCAGAAAAATAATTACTAAAAATGTTAATCTACTTAAAATTGTTAACTTTAAATGACATTTTTTAGAAAATATCAAAAGGATAGATTTTAAAAGAATATGATGCTTTAAATATAAATGAAACGTTATATGGATATGTATAATAAAAATATAAATAAATCACATCCCAAATCAGATTATATATAAGCTGAATCATTTTATGCATAAGCACATTACGCACTCGTTAAAAGAATTCACTGGAATGCCTTTGAGGGGGGAAAATGCGCCAATAATAGCTCAATAAATACGTTAACAGAAAAGCAACAACAACAACGACGCTGCGGGGGGAATCACATGTACAGACATGTGCGTGTAGTATATATGTATATGTATTATATATGTATATGTATGTAGATAGCAGATACTACTTGTTTAGAGCAATTTACCTGGCTACAACTGTGCGTCTGCAGCTCGCCTCGCAACTGCGCAGCAGCAGCGACGACACGTGACCTGTTGCGGCGACTCTGGCTGCTCCAGCGACAGTTATAAACGGGCGGCGGGGGGCGGTAAATGCTCGCCAGTCTGTGACTGAAGCGGCGGGGGGTGCCGGCACGCAGAGCCACCTGTGCGGCGGCCAATGCGACGAGTGACTGCGACACGAGCTTTACGCAAAAAGATGGCAACAAGTGAAAAAAAAAATCAAAAAAAAAAAAATTATAAAAAAAATGAAATGCTTATCAAGAGCAGGCAACGAGTTGTATTAGAAAGAGAACAAACGGCCTACAATGTATAAAGGCAACGGGCGATAAGAACTCTGTGAACGATCAGCAAGGAATCCGACAAAAAACGTGGAATCACCATAAAAAAAAAATGAAATCTAAAGAAAGAACGAAAAAAAACCTTGAATGACGAACAAGTCGAAGCTTAAATACCCTTGAAGATAATGGCTCACTGTCAGATAGGAGCAACAACTAATGCTGCGTGTTCAATTTTAGTTTATTGTTTTAGCTAATCACGTTCTTCAATGTGCTTTAATTCTATTTCATCAGGCAATAAAAAAGTAAACCTAAATATGATTGTCGAATGTGGTTTGCGGTCGTCAGTAAAACCTTTACGCTTGCAAATAATTTCAAAATTATATTTTCCCTACTGAACTTATTAAAACTTAATTCTCAAACGTATAACGCAAATATCTGTTCCTTATGAATATAGAGAAGATTCCACAAAATAGGAATCCAATGAGGAAATATATCACATTGTTATAAAAATCTACTTCGATTCACTAAAACCATATTTTTCAGAAGTCCAAGATTTATATAAAACTAATGAAAAATATATGATTTAACTATGTACATTTATGAATTCTAAGGAGAAAAAAAGCATTTTAAAGGCATTTATCTTAAATCAAGACTAAAGGAAATTAAATTTGCAAGAAATAAACAAAAAGTAAAAAACATCATATTTAAAATCAAAATAATAAAGTAAAAACAAAATATAACAACAAAGAAATTGGGCAACGCATAAAATATGATTGCACTCTGGCAACACTGGCGCAAACGTCACGAAAAATCCGAAACTCAGACAGCTTACATACAATTTTAACTGTACATCTTTTAAAAGTTATGCATTTTGGTTGATCTAATTTTAACTGACAAAAGTACTAACAAAGTCAGTAAGCTTCTTACGCGTTTTCAAGGGCCGTAAACCGCCAGAGATTGCGATGACACACAAGGCGGCGGGTCGGTCAATGTACGCGAATTACGTAGAATATGAAAAAACGATGAAGTGGCTACCAAAAACGAAAACAACAACAAAACGGATTGAAAGGCATTGTACATTCTCTTACCGTTTGCAAAGTGTTGGACATCTTGTGGCTAGCTGCACACACTCTCGCTCTTCTTCAGCCGTCCTCGACACGATGTCCAAAAGGTAACGTAACAACTATGCGTGTGTGCGTGTGTGTATGTTGAGTGTGTGTGCGCGTCTGTGTGTTTCCTATTTGGTATACCTATTTTATTCACACTCCCACTGACAACAATAATTACAAATACTATTCACAGACACTTAACACTGCGACGTCACTTTTTACTAAATATAATTACAGTAATTATAGAAATAACTAGACGGGTTGTTGACTATTTCTGTTTGCTTAACGGTTTCACTTTGCACTGCTTTCCGCTTTAACATCCACTCGCGCCCACGTTTCAACTGCTACTGCGATCGGAGCTTTCGGTTGAGAGCGCCAAAGAGGACAGCGATTGCGATTCTTGCCTGCTCTTCTTTATCTTATCACTTGTTTTTGCAATGCGCGTTGGCTCACGCTTTGCATTTGGATTTGAAATAAATTGCGAATCGATATTGCAATCGATACGCACGCGAGTTTTATTGAGATGTGCGATCGAGCTTTTGCAAGTGAGCACCAACTGGCTGCTATTTTGCTTTCCCACCAATTTCTTGTTGTTCTTGCAATTTTTTAGCTGATGGACGGCTCAAGGCTGATTGCTATGGCCGCTTCTGTTAATTTAAATTTATACGTTTGTGCAAAATAAATATATTTTTTAATGTTGGAAATCGTTATGTTTTTTTTCGTTTATTTTCAATTGTTTACCAGAACCTGTTTTAGTTTTATTTACGTCGAGCCTTGTCTTGTTTTCTGGGTCAAAGACAATCAATTGCGTTTCAAAAAAATATGTTTACCAAAAGCTCAGTTGGGAGTTTTCTAATATGTAAATATGTATATTTCATGCCAATTGGCACGCGCGCAGCTCAAAATTATTGTAATACGAGGGTGGAACAGAATATATTTAACTAAATACGTGAAAACTCTAGGTACTTAAGAAGCACCACTCGTGGAAAAGCTTTCGGGCTACATGGTCAGTACAATGCTCTACAGCTGGAAGCTTTGAAAAGCTTTCGCATGCATGCCCATGCAATCCGCAGACGTTTCAAAGCTAGCTTACTTTGGAAAGCGCTTTCGGCTGGAAAGCTTTCACAAATGCTTTACAAATGTACTTTAAGATATGACTCACTGCACGGATGCGATCATATTTATTTTCGTGGAATTACTGTGCCCGATAATAAATGCGTATCGAGCTTTTACGGAATATGGCTGTGTGTTAGTATGCTACAAATTTGCGATATTTGCATTTGAAAGTATTAATAAATAGGAACGTTAAATGCATACATATTTGTATACAAATTATCACCAAAACAATTACTCATTTAAATAATATTGCAAATTTCCCACACATACTCAGGCACACGAGCCTTGTGTGCCGCATTTAGTGCCGAAAGGTGGCTGTTGATAAGCAGCGTCTATTGCTGTACAAGCTGTACAGTCCCGTCCCGCAAAGCATACACGCATGCATATGTATAAGCACACACACACACACACATACTTGTGTATACATGTGAGCGGTTTCTATGAAGCTTTTAGAATTTGCCAGAAAGGTGCAAAACCCTCGAAGAGTAGACAGAATAAATTGACTTGATTTTTGTTTTTGTATTTCATTTGTTCTTCCATTTATTTTTGAATGTTCTCGAATGTTTTTGTTTTTTTTTCAGGCTACGCTTTGTTAGCCATTTTCTTGTTACTTGACTGAATGCGCTCGCTGGTTACTTTTGAAGTTTTTCAATTTTGCCATTTTTACATGCTCTGCTCTAATTTTAATTATGTATTCTGCGTCACTTTTATTTTATTTTTATTTTTTTGCAAGCGTTATTGCCTATGGTTTGGTCTGATTGTTGTTGTTTTTGCTGCTCTGCTGCCTCTGGCTTACTAAACTATTATTCACGTTTAAAGAGAGCAAGAGGGAGAGAGAGAGCTGAATAGTGGTCTGGTAGTGGAAGTGTTGGGAAACTATGTAAATAACAATCCACCAATACACACATACAACGCTCCACACAAAATTGAGCTCTTTAAATGCAAATTAAATTGTGGAATAAAAACGTTCTTTCAAGACTTAGCCAAGTTAAGGTAAGTAGTATATACGTATACAATTAGAAGAGAGAACAAAAATGGGTGTACATTATTTAAATTTTTAAAATACATTATTTCATTTCCTTAAGTTTGGCGAGTCAGCGCTGTTGATTTGATTGCTATATAAAAAATTTTGATATACAAGTTATATATATATATATATGTATATACGCATTTCTTTATATGGTTTCTCCATTCTATGTATAGATTTCTCAAGGGGGTTGGAAGTGGGCAGTTTTCGTGTTTACGTGCTGTTGCTGTTGTTCTAGGATTTGCTTTCGAGTTTTAATCATAGAGCTTTTTTCTTTTAATATAAATATTCATATATAATATAGGATCATACATAAAATTAAAAAAGAAATTATCTTAAAAATGACAAATGCGTAATGTTAAATTTGTTTTCGTTTACTTTTACAAGACAAGTTGTTTGTATCGTTCATTTTGAGTTTTTATTACATATAATTATTAAATTTGATGCTTTTCTTGTTTACAACTCGTGTTTTTTTTGCTTGTTTGTTTTCTGCTTAAAACGCATCTTAATTGTTTCTTTTTTGTTTTTATATATATATATACTTTTTTCTTTAAAGTTAAGTTTTGTTTTGTTTAAGTAAATTTTAAATGATAATGGATTTTTTTTTTCTTGTGTTTGTTGCTTTTTGTTAGTAAAGTCAGAGAGAATCGGTACATTTTAAGACTACGCTCCCTTTACAGGATTGTTATTAGAGAAGCGCCAGCACACAACACACACACACACACACACACACGCACGGTGTCACTAATGTACTCACATGTGCTTGCTAGTGTGTGTGTGTGTGCGTGTATGTGAGTGAACGCATTTTGTGTGTGTGTGTGTGATTTTTTGTGTTAGTAAATTTATATGTAGTACTGTGCTGCTGCTGAGCGGGCGATGCGATGCGGTTTGCGACTTTAGGCTGCCACCTCGCTAGCTTCGGCACCGTTTTGAACTTCATCCTTTGTGCTGGCCTCGTCCAGCTTCGCCTTCTTCTCCGGCGTGGCAACGACCTCATCGGCTTTGGCGGCGGCCTCGTCGACCTTTCGCTTCACAGCTTCAGCGGCGGGCGCATCTAAAGGATTCAAAGAGAGTCAAAAGTTAGTTAACTGTAAAATTGTATGGTTTGGGAGGGGGGGCATGCTGGTGTTGTTTATCTCACCTTTTGAATCACCGTTGGCTGCCTCTGCATCATCGGCGCCATTCTCAACAGCTGCTGCCTCGCTGCTTGGCTTGGCCTCAGCTGTTTTCTCCTCTGTCTCATCGGCCTTCTTCTTCTCATCGGCGGCTGCTGCTGGTGCTTCGGTCTTCTTCTCGCCATCGACGGCATCGGCAGCGGGTGCAGCTTCGGCGCTCGCATCAGCACCGTTTTCCTTGGCGCCATCGGCGCTGCTGCTGGACTCCTCGCCGGCACCGTTCTCTGTGGTGGTCGGTGTTTCAGCCGCTGCCTCGTCGGCAACAACGGCATCCTTCTTTACAGCATCAACCTCCTCAGCAGCAACTTTCTCAACCACAGGGGTCTCGCTGTGATAAGGAAAACAAAATAATTACTAATTTGAACCAAAAATTGTCTAACCAACATTTCGCAACTTCGTGACACACGGAAAAAATTCAAGCACACAAAAGACCGGCAAAGCGGTGAACGTCGCAGCCGGCGTCGCTTCCGCGTTAGTTACAACCACCCCCAGTAGAAGCATATACATACATATACACACACACTCGCATACATGTTAAAAGCATCTGCCGACGCAAATGATAAATGGGAGCAACAACTCGTGGAAACTGCGACGCAAAAAGAAACGAACAAAAAAAAAAAAATATAAGAAAAGGTGAGCGGCATGCGCTTCCATATAAAAATTGTGCTTTTTCCTTTATACACAGTGGGAAATAGGTGTACATAGCACAAAAAGTAAAGAGTGCAGAGGAAAGGCAAAGCATGCAAAAAAGAAGCGCGACTTGTTTGAAATACAACGTACGAACAAAATAAAACTGGTTTTTTATGTTTCCAACACTACATGCATCCCTCTCGCACACACCTTTTGCTTGCCACAATGCGCGCGCGTCACGTACAGAAGCGAAACAGCATTACAGAGAGCGAGCGTGCTCAGAGAATTGCAATGCAGGGCAAAAATAACGGTCAAAACTATACATGCTCACATAAACACCCACTATGCGACAGTACCCCCGCCGACACCCCTCCCTCTACCCCTATAATCACAACCTAAGACAACAGACAAAAGGTTTTTAACCGTTATCTTTAACTGCGACGCAAGAGAAGTTAAAAGAAAACGCACACAATGCGGCAAACCGGCACTGCGATTATTTTAGGCAATGACAAAATACTTGAAAACATTTGATTTGAGCAGCTCATTAGCACAAAAAAAGAAGAGCGTAAAAAGTCAAGCGGCCAATAATGCCAAGCTTTAAGCTTTAAACGAAAAATGCGCAAAAGACGAAACCTGACAAAAATTAATGGCCAGGGCCAGACGACAGCAAAAGCAAACAGGCGAGACAGACAAAACGACAGCTGAAACTCAAACGGCACGAAATATAAAAAAAAAATAAAAGAGCGGCAACTTAAATGCTACACACAGATGCAGCGCTCACACGCTTATATATACATACATACATACATATTTGCGCACTCCGCTTTGCACACAAAACATGCACACACACGCGTACGCTCAATATATTACTTCTTTGCCTTCACCAGCCGCCACCAACGAACATGTCCAACAACAAGCGTGCTGACGAAGTCGCCGCCGCTGTCGTCGCTGTTTGCCGGCCGGAGTGTGAGCGAGAAAGCGTCATGACGCCGCGCCAAATTCAACGGCGTCGTTTTTTGCGCGCACATTTGGGCCTCTTTGGCGTAAGCGAGACAACTCTATGAGTTGTTCAAGCATTTTACGTAGATAGACACAAAATTCAAAAAGAAATTTTTTCCAAACTGAAGAAAATGATGTACACCACTTGCGAAATTAGCCGCAATTGCCGCTATATGTATTGTTTGAATAAATTCAACGCACACATGCAATATAGACTAAGGCACACACATTACACACAAATCCAAATAAAATTACTCACTTCTTTTTCTCAGCCACATCAGCCATTTTAACTTTTAAAGAATTACTTTCAAAGAGAAGCGCGAAAAAGAGTTTAGTTTTTGATTTTGCAAATAGCACTCGTACGTAAACACGACTTTTAAATACTTAAAACCAAGCACGTTTCAACAAGATTTGCAAATTTTATAAATTTGTGCAAATTGCTCTTGCTTGACCACTTTTTCAGGTATCTCTGCTTTCAAAGTTGAATGCCTGCTGAGTTTTTTGGTTGCCGTTCAAGAATAACGTCCACACAGTCACGCAGAAAAACGCCGAATGAGACAGAGACAGAAGCTGAGGTAACTTTATATACACTAGGTATATTGATATTGTTTCGATGGCCGGCAGAACCACAACGCCGATATCGATATATTCAACGCACGGTTATATTTTCCAAATAATGCTTGCTGGTAATGTGATTTTCAAATTATGTACATCATTTATATACAATCGCTTAATAAATAAACATTATTATTACAAACTATTGTCGTTTTAACTGCTTAAAAAGGTATATTTATTCCAACCTATCGCGGTGCGATTAAATTCTAAAGTAAAATAGTGTTATGTTATACTCAAAATGGCACTGTTATGTTGAACAATGGCATTGCAGCACTAATATACGAAATGGTGAATAGTGTGAATGCAATAGCAATTTCAAGAACGCTGTAGGTTAGAGTGAACAAGAATAGTTTCATCTTTCAGCGGAGCAGCAAAACATATATATCGATAACTTACAATGTTACGATGTATTATGCTGTGGATATTTAATGCATCGTTTAATTTAAATATTTAGATAATCTTTTATAGAATTTTTCTTAACAGCTTGTTCAAAGCACTCTGATCCGATCGGTTTTTTTTGCTTCAGTTTATTTGTTTTTTTTTTTATGAATTAATTTAATTTTATTCATCATAGTTTTTCTTTTGATACTGAAAAGTCAGCAATATAGATGTTTACTTAGTTTAAATTTTGTCTAAACTTTTTGCAATATTATTGACTCAGAATATGGTGTTATATACTTCGAATATATATCAATCAAATTGCGCCCAGTAGTATTTCTTCAATGAATGCATTTTTTTATTTTTACAAATGCTGCTTACACAAACATCTGCTCTTAACTCAAAACCAGACTCGTGCCAGCTGCCTGAGCTGAGCCTCCCCTGACTACCAACGAACTGTATGCATTTAAGGGACAAAATCTTTAAAATTGAAAAAAAAAAACAATTAATTAGGAAACGTTCAACTATGTGATTTTAATCAGTACTTATCTTTTGGTACAGTACATTAAATCATTCGATGAATCGCTAATAATTGTGGAGAAACTATCGCAAATTAACTTTTTTGTATTAATTAATGTAAATAAATAACAAATAAGCTTTGAACTTGGCTACCCTAATCCTGATTAGTTATGTTATTTATTTAGCTTAAAAGTATCGATAGTAGCATTAAATAGTACCGTTCATTCAGTGTGACATAAACACATTTTGCCCGCCAACAGTTGCCCAGATAAATACAAATGTACAGCAATCAATCAAATTAATGCTCGAATTATTGTTGTAGTTTTAGTTTGAATTTGGAAAGACGCGCATAAAAGTGGAAATTACAAATTTCTGGTCCAGTAGCCAACGCAGGCAGGCAGGTAAAAGGCGACCAAACTGTGCGACGCCGAGACAGATGGATTAGGCAGCATCACGTGCCATTGTGCGCGTCCTGGATTAATATTGTTCAGGACAACAGCAGCCCGGGACAGCCGGCTGTTTGTCCATTCTATTACCTGGTTCCGAGTTTATTGTCGTTGCCCGCGCGTTTTACAAGGTTTTTCCAGCTGCAATGTATCACGAAAAATGTGAGTATTTGGCATGTGATGTCACACACATACATACATACATACATACATAGATAAATATTCACATTTTAAGCAATTAACGCATCTTTACTATACGCTAGATACATGTACACAGATACTCATTTGTATGCAGGTCCATAGTAAATTCTCTCCCTAGACCTACAACTCGAAGAGCTAAGAACTTAAGCAGAGCCCACTTTAATGTAGAATTCTCAAGAAAATATAAAAAATATAAATATATTAACATAACTCCTTTGATGCAAGCTTTACTATAATTTTCGTAAAAACCGAAACCCTCATAGATCTTCTTATCTTCTCTCAGAACGATTTTAGAGTATAATCCCCCAGATAATGTAAAAATAAACATGTATTAAGAGAACTTCTTTAATACTAGTTTCCCTAGGATTGGAGTATACATCTATAATCTCGTAGGACTTATCATTTAACTGCGACAGGAACAATGGGTCAATATCGAAAATATTGTATTATCAACCTTTTGTTTTGAAAAAGTCGAAAGGAATCTCAGCAATTTCGATTGATAATATGAGCTTAACATACAAATTAAGCTAACATAGTTTAATCCTCTTGATTTTTTAAATAATAATAATTTTAAAATATCGAAACCATGTCGTCCTGCTAGTACGAATTGTTCTTCCATTAAATCCTTGCAAAAGGCGAGCAATCGCTGCATTCAAACCAGTTTTATGTATAATATACATAGTATATGTTTTACTTTAGCTCCTTTGCTCCTTCGAAGCATTTGGGATAGGCATATCTAATTTTGAGCTGTTCATCCTATTCAGAGTGTCAACTGTAACCTATTCAGCGCAACATATTTCCTCTTTAAGATGCATTACATTTTCAACTCTCGCACACGAAGACGCAGCTGCATCCTGTGGCACGCCCAAGGCCAGGTGCTGTTTTTGTAGCCGACAGCGTCGACGGCGCAGCTGACGTCGCCGCTGCAGTTGCTGTTGATAGCCATTTTAGTAACATTTCTTAATAATTAATTTTATGAGCCTGCGGCAATTTGAGTAATCAGGCTCAAGTGCGAGTGTGAGGCACATTTACACACACACACAGACACACACACATGCATTGCCGCATTAACAGCAGTTGCACATTGCGTTATCAAGCTGCACAGCTGTACCGTTATCAGTTGCATGCGCTCTCGCAGACATGCGCTCACAGAGCTTGAGCCAAAAAGCTCGCTCTGAGCGCGCGGTAGGAAGCGTTGAAGAGAGATTGGTGCTTTTGAAAAGTCCTTGCTGCTGCTGCTGCTGCTGTTGAGCTCTTGAGCTGTTGACTGTCAAAAATTTTCACTTAACAATCAGTCAAGTTTATCGTGCGTCTTAGTTTAGCTCGCAGAAATTGGCTCGCGCGACGCTGCTCACAAAAATAGGTCCGCAGCAGCAGCCACAGCAGCAGTTAAAAAAAAAAAACCAAAACCACATCGAAGCTGTTTGCATAAAAGGTTAATAATTTAAATTACAGCGTGTGCTATAATCCATGCCAATCAAGTGAAAAGTGAAAAATTTGGCTGATAGTGTACAGCAGGCAGCTGTGCGGACGACTTTTCTGTACACGCTTAATGCGTTATCGCAGCCTCCATAAAAAAAAAAATCCAAAAAAAAAAAACTTCAAATCTGCTGCCTAGTTTTATGCGCGAGCTGTTGTTTATTTCAATTAAAATTAGATGCGAAATTGCTTGCGAATGCATAAAGTGTGTACACACACAAACACAAATACACAAACACACACACACGCACACAAACGAAATCACAACGCATTAAAACGAACCTTGAGCAAATCAGCCTTAAACACACATAGATAAACACACACAAGCACACACACATACAGCTATAGAGATACATGTACATGTATATCCGTGAGCATAGCTAGAAGTAAAGGATTTTTGTATGCCAAGAAAAGAAGCAACGAATTCGGCAATAGGGATACGACAGCCAAGTGAAGAGGAAACACCAACTGAGCCAGGTAGCAGAAAAGAGAGAGGGCTCAACAGTGTGGCAAAGTGAGACGCACTGGGCGTGTGAGCGAGAAAGGGAGAAGGGACATGTAACACTGTGGTGTGTGCGTGCGTAAAAGTTGTCATAATTTATGCAAACGGATATTAGGCGCTATGCTGAAAATTTGATAACTCAATTTACATTCGGTCTAAAATGAAAAACCCCAGTTAGTTTGAAGAGCAATAAACCAAACTTCTGTTTGAAACATTCGTGCCTGGCATTGTTGATAACATTCCATTTATTATAAAAAGTTAGTAGAGCTCTAATAATAAAAATTACTGAGCTTTAATATCTCTGCGTTTGTCATAAAAAACTTTCAAGTTTTTTTATATCTTATCTTATGATGAGGTAATACCAGCATTCACACAATGTTTTATAAAAAACTCCCCATAATATTGTTTGAAGGTATTTGTAACGAGAGTGCAATTAATTTGATAGTCAAATGAACCCATATTAGTTTTGTATTAAATTATAGTGTATTGATAATTTCATTCAGGTTTATTTAACATGATAAGATAAAGTAAGAATGCACATAAATTGAATAAAAAAATTCAAACAGTAGTCTTTAAATAAGATTTCCGTTTGCATGATAGTAAATAAAATTAGTATAAATAAAATTTATGTTTCTTATCGGCATAGGTATTTCAATTGATATGATACTGAATGATTTTCATATATTGGAGTAATAAATTGTAGTATTTTAGTATTAGTTAGTATTAGTGTAGGCAAATAAAAAAATAAATTATTAATAATATTGCTCAAGCAATAAAAATGGTTTAAGTGTATTCTTTAAATTATCAGAATGTTTGCGAATTCGCTAATCCGATATTTGTTGATATATAATTTTTAAACTATGGTATTTTAAAACTCAACTCTTATGCAAAAATTGAACTAACAAATACAAATAACAGCTTATATAGCTACAATATTCTTATAACATAACAAAATCTAATAAAGTTAAGCAAATTATTAACTATTAGCCCACTGTATCACGGCGGTTTGCTTAAGGCAGGCACACACACACACATACATACAAACACATACACAAACTTATGCACGCACACACATTGCGGTACTCGCACACAGGGCCACGCTCATGGCTCTCGTACAAGGACGCTTCCGCCTTGGCGCTCACACACACATTTATATTTAGAAAGAGTGAGAGGCAGAGGGAGACCGAGAGAGAGAGAGGGAGAGAGGCCGCCATTAGGCAAACGGCAATGCTAAGCCTCAAATTTACCGTTAACGTTTGTGTTTTGTGTAAAAGTTTCGTATTTGAGTTTGTGTTTTATATTATTCTATTTGCCAACGCGTCTCACCAGCTCCAGAAGTTCGCCCAACCCCCCCATCTTTTCATAAATAAGTAAAGATAACGTGGAAAACGGAAATGACCAGACTCCATAT